GGGGGGGGGTGTAAGTGAGTGAAAAATGAAAAGAATTATGGGGGAGAAAAAAGGGAAGCGAGAGTGAGGCGAGCGGGAGGAAGGAGAGATGTGGCAGAATGTGAGGAATGAGAGTTACTCTGATGAATTATTTAAGGCTTGATATTCCACGGCCCCCGGGAGGCCTCTCAGCTGCACTTTGATAGGGAAGGGGGTGGGGCGGGTGGGAGGTGCTATAAGGACACCATATCCCATACTGCCTCTCTGCCATACATCGTAATGCACTGTGCTGGGAAGCGGTTGGGGGCATTTACTGGTGGTGAGTGGAGGTCCCTTTAGACAGCAGGAGTAGTTCAATAAGTGTTATTACAGGCAGGATGTATGTGGTTACAGTGAACCTATCACAAGCTTTGTAGCGCCACAGTTGGGTTTGTGTGAGTCTGAGTGTGTGTGTCAAAGACGAAAGCTTCAGGGTGCAGTAAAGATGCAACTGAACCGTGAAATTAGTGGCTTCCTGTGATAAAGTGCTGGGTAGAGTGATCTTGGGGACTTCTAACTGTACTTACTGTCCAAAAGGTATGTTCTCAGTTTGTTTTTAAAAGCTGCTCAGGGAGGAGATGGAGATGAAAATAGAAAACATCACAACCAGTATTTAGAAGGGGCGTCAGAATAAAAAAACAGGTCTCTGTTATACTATGTCAAAAATAGAATTTGACTATTTTTGACATAGTATAACATGGAACAGCTCCATCAAAAAATCAGACTTCAGATAGATGTTGATTCATTTCTGCACAAATCTGTCTATTTTAAGTATGACTTGAAATGTAGAGAAGCCACATAACACTGTTCAGCTCCTTTTACTGAAGAACATACAGATATTGTTCAGTTAGTTCATTGCTGTATATTAAAGTCTATAAAATGGTCCCTTTTCTCATTAATCATTCAATAGAATTGTTAGCAAAGGAACTGGTCAGCATGTGTCACTGATTGTTGCCATAGATTTTGGATCTCATTTCAAACTGAGCCTTGTGGTGTGGCTAATGTTTGAAATAAGTGAGATGTTAAAACTCTCTAGTATAGAGTTAATTGGCCCCTGGAGCCAATGAAACACTGAGATGGACAGCATCAGAAATAATGCAAATTATAGGAGGTCATAATTGGGACTAACCATCCACGTTGTAGACCTTCAACCCAGCCAGGTGTTTGGCAGCCCGATGCTTTGAGGCAGAGAGAAGGGCTGGGTTATGGAGAGGGAAATCTCTGTAGTAATACTCCAAAATGGTTAGAGCGGCCTTTTGAACGCTGTGTGAGAAAAGAAAGAAATGTAGGGAGTAAATACAGAGACAACATACATACAGAAACTGAATTAAAATGTTGGCTCAATTAGAGTACCTAACCAAAAGCAACATAAGGTGTACCTCTCCAATTAGCATTTGACCTTAATCATATTGTGGAACTCAACTAAAAAAGGTCCTAATGAAAGGCAGCAGAACCGATCATATTGTCTTTTTTATTTCACACACTATTCTTTTATTACACAAATGTTTTCTAGTTACCACAGTTGTCCCCTAGTCCTGTCTTATTCACACACTCAATCAGCGCAGTAACAGAGTAAGACAGCCAAAGGACGAGCGCCTGTGTCCGGCCCTTCGTCATCCCTCCCCCCCAAAACTCCTAGAATAGCTCACCGTGGGCAAACTAGACAAAGAGGCCGATGAGTAACTCAATTACCACCAATGCCAGTCAGTCCTCCCTGTGGACATTGGCCTCCAATTACATGCATACTTCAACAGCATAATGAGTGTGACCAAGTGCTAGTGTGTGTGTGCCTCAGTGTGTACTGTACAGAAAGGTCAGTCACATGTAAATTAGAACATGCTCGTATTTAGAGTTTGTTCTTCTATCTTTCCTTTTTCATTAGAAACTATTTAAAGCACATTGGAGGGTAAACATAGTGTTTGTGTACCTAAGCTGTCCTATGTTGTAGTGACGTGTCTCTCCGTCAGTGGAGCGGATGACACACACGCTGTAGCAGGGCTGGAGGTGACGGAGCTCCAGCAGCACCACTGCCAGGTAGTGGACGAACAGCTGGGAGTCCACCAGGGACACTGCAAACTGGACAATCCCATGGTAGTCCTCATCCTGCTCAGAACACATCACAGGTTTAATTAAAACATTCACTGCTCATTAAACAAATTACAATGAATTGGCTAAAAGATAATAACTTGGAGTAAATGGAATAACCTAGTAAATGAAATGTATGGAATGGATAAAACAACTATGAGAATTAGAAGCCAAATGCATATCTTTGAGGAAAGATGGGAAAAATGGGTAGAGTATAGAACACTATAAGGAAGACTTATAAGGAACATGAGGTAAGATTTGACCTCATGGGCTGCTTTCATTTCAAGTTTATTCTTGCCTTTTCCTTTGATTCGTAAATCGAGGGTAAAATAAACAACTTTAAAATAATCTGTAGATTAATCCATTAACAAAATGGTTGTGACCAATGAATGTATACCTGAGTATTAATATTGTATCCATTCTTGTGTTTGTATTATTATTATTACTATATTATTTCATTTCGCAACTGTTATGTAGTTAACGTATGTAGCTACATGTGTTTATTTTGTTAGGTATGCTTTGTGAATAATTTATTTTCTAAAAACACTCACTGCTGATGAACAACTTTTTTTCTCCCATTTAAATACTTAACTAGATACGTGTCATTGAGAATGATTATCTTATTTTAAATTGAACAATTGAAAGACATTTTTTTCTTGAATTGGTAGCCAAGTTATAAGACAACTAAGTAATTTCTTAGGCCAAAATAGGTGGCAATAACACACTTTACAATTGCTATAGAGAATGGCTTATGATATTTAATTGTTCAATATTTTCAAACAACACAACGTGAATTAATCTAAACTCTGTGAAAATAAGAAAATTAAACTCTTGATTGTTTACTTTAATTAAAAAATATATAATGCAAAAGCTTAAATAACAGCAATATAAATCAATAGCTTTGTAAAAAATCAGAGTATGTGTTATCTTGAAAGCCATAAAAAAAAAGTTATTGCTGTGGCTCGCTCTCAAACCCACCTGTGCTTCAAGGATCCGGACCCCAAAGAAGAGCCAATAAGACATGGTGAGCAGGAGTGTGAGGGTGGTGAGGAAGGCACGGTACACACACACTCGGGGCAGGCTTGCCCGGCCCGGCTTGAGAAACAAGGCCCACATGGCCATCAGGAGGATGAGGAGCTTGAAGGCGAGGGAGAGGAAGAGGCCCTCACAGGCTGTGCCACAAGCCTGCAGCCTGTCCGGCCACATAAAAACCGGAAGAAGCAGGAAGGCCAGAGGCGTGGCCAGCACCAGCAGCCCCACCAACGAGCCCACAGCCAGGGGAAGATAACGGCGGAAATCTTCAGTCCGGTCGTGCAATCCCTTCCCCAGTCCAACCACTTCCTCCTGGGAAATACTCAGCTCTGAGGTGCCTGTCACTGCGGTGGTGGTCTCCCCCCAGTTGTCATCCTATGATAGGAAAGAAAGAAAGGTGAAGGAAAGGTATCTTACAAGGCTTCAAGGGATTCATTGGTTTAATTGTCTATGTGTCCATGTTGATTCACCCACATTACTCAAAATACTGTTTCTCCATCCATTCAAGCTTCTGGTCTTGTGAGTATCATAATATGTTCACCAACAGGTCGAAGCGATACGGTACAATATGATACGACACGATTGAAAACTGTGCCACTGTTTTTATTTTCTTATTTATTTATTTTTACTAAAAACTGCTGCCTGCTACAAGTGAATGAGTTCATCGCTTTGGGAATAAAGAATGAGCTGGAGGTCTTCCTAGAGTTAGTACAGATGTGAGTAATAAAAGCATGTATGAGTGAGCCCTTTTTCATGCTATCCATAGATATTTGATCCATTATGGGCCAGCAACTGTGAGCAGAAAATAAATTCCTTCACCTCTATCGTCTTGGTGTCGAGGTGAACATCTCACTGACAAATATCTTAAAACCCGGGCCAAGAAAACTATCATTATCTACATTCCTAAATACCACAAAAGGTAAGAGAGATGTCTTTCTTTGTCATTATAAAATAGCTGACTAAATTGGCAAATCAGAGTAAAATTCAAGAGAAACTGACAAATCAACTCATAAATATAGTCCTGAATCTGAGAGGGAACAATGCCTCCATTTTCTCAAGTTTATGCCCCGTGCACACAGCAGATCCTCCGTTAAGAGATGTTTGGGTTTCTTGGAGTTTTGCCTCATTATGACAGGCCTTCAAAGTCCCATTGAAGTAATATAAGATGACAGGATGGGGAGTGCAGGAACGTTCACGTTAGAAGGAGGATAACACACACACACACACACACACACACACACACACACACACACACACACACACACACACGCACACACGCACGCACGCACACAGACACAGTGATTCACAACAACAACAAAGAAAGCTTTCCAGGCCCGTCATTGCAAATTAGAGTCCAGGTTTTTTTCTCCTAGCCGGCCAGGGTCATTTTAAGCATAAATCTTTCCCAAAAAGAAAGACAGGGAGTATTTATTTTATTGTGTGCCTGTCATGATTTCAGATAATTAGCCGTTCATTGTTCCCCAGAGTGTCACTGCATTGTGTATTCCTCCGACTACACCAACACAGGAGGAGCAGCCGCAGAGAGAGGGATGGAGGCTAGATAAAGAGACAAGCTGAGCAGATAAGCTTTCGTGGCTTCACACACATGTGCACACACACACCTAAGCACATCAAACAGCCAGTAAAGCCCCAAACTCGCAGCACCCGGGCCTGATGGAGCTGCTGGGAAACCAGACAGGCTGTGGGTAACACAGACAGAAGACAGCCATATGTACTCTCACCTGTCTGGAGCGTGTGTATCTAAACTGTGCCTATTAAGAAGTTAATATAACATTAGCAGATTACGTTAAATTAATCCTACTGCTATTTGTGGAATGTGAAATTTACATTGCATTTTGCATATTTCCAATCAGGAAAATGCCTCAAGAATACGGTGCATAAATATGAATGCTGCCCTCCATTACTGTTCACAGCTAATTAACTCAGCCATGGTGGAGGAGGGGAAGATGAATGAGCATGGAAGAGGAGAGGGAGGCAAAGGGAGAGAGGGAAGGTAGACGTGGTTTAAGGTGTGGTATAGATATAAGAAAGGAGACGAGGGTATGCAGAATCAGCATTTAATTCAAGGTATCTGTCTTCCAGAGTAATGTGTAAGGCCAGAGGTCAGTAAGTGCATTATCGACTCCATTTAGTGTCTCATTTCAATTCCTCTCACATCTCTCCTCTTTGTCTCCCTCTCGTCTCAAGCCCAAAAAAAGGATACCAACCTTAAGACAGGCTCTGTGAACAATCAACGTCATTCCACACTTTGGACAAAGAGCAGAACAAATGGGGATACAAAAACAATATCCTATTAAGCTTGACAGTTTGTTCTTAACTGTTGTTGACTAAACAATATATCCAATTAAGGTCCACTTATTTACCTGTTCGGAAGCGTTTGACAGTATTACACAGTTTTCATCAGCAGAGAAAGTTTGCCCAGTTGTTACTTGCGGATATATCCTGCCTTTAATCCAATCCAATCCAATCCAACTTTATTTATATCAGGTCTTTAAAACCTCCAGACCAAAGTGCTGTACAGAGAGATACGTACAATATAAAATCACACAGCTCAGCTCACAAAACATTAAACATACATAAAAAAAAAAGATAGAAATACAAAACAAACCAGAATAAACGTAACAATTACAAAATAAAAAACATAAAAACAGCCATATAATAAAAACAATAGACCACTGAAAGCAAATAAAAGCAACAATCTACTTGTTTACGAATGCCAAGGAGAAAAGGTGGGTTTTAGGACGGGATTTAAAAACAGACAGTGTGGGAGCCTGTCTGATTAGCAAGGGCCGGTCGTTCCACAGTTTAGGGGCGGCAGCAGAGAAAGCACGGTCCCCTCTGCGCACCCTCAGGAGCAACTGATCAGCTGACCTGAGAGTGCAAGTGGGCGTGTAGCTGTGTAACAGCTCAGAGAGGTAGGGCGGGCCAGACCATTGAGGGCTTTAAAAGTAAATAAAATAGTTTTAAAATGAATCCTC